AAGAACCTCGGAAATTATGGAATATATCTTTTTTATTTCTAGCTAAACTCTCTGAGTAGATGACTAGATGGGTTACATTATTTCATCATTATCTGTAAACAGAGAGGAGCCAGGTCCAGTGGAACTGTTCAGTACCACCAGGCAGGAAGTTTCAACTCTTATTCAGCCCAAATCTCACTGCTTTCAGGAGAAATGTAGAAAAACAGATCACCATGCTATCTACCACAACCTTTTATATATTAAAGCCACTTTCTGTTTCAGTTGGATATCAGTGTAAACCAGCTATCAGTGTACCTTCATCTGGCCATAAATTTTTGGAAAGCCAAAAGCCAGGTGAGGCTATGCAGCTTTTTATCCATTGCTAGAGCTCTTATGTGTAATCAGAAGCCAGATTTTCTCATATTATGATTTTCTCCTACTGTGAATTTCTCTTTCCCATCCCACCCCCAAAGAAAAGGAAAAAAAAATCCATAGTATTAACAGTATGGAAGAAATTTTGGTCATGTGCTCCAAAGCACACTGTACTTTTTCTTGGTTGTACTTGTCATGCCTGTAAATTCACGTCATTTTTTAAATGCCTGTCATCCTCATTGAAATGTAAGTGCCATGCGGGCAGATACCAAGTCTGCCTTGTTCATCAGCATTTTTCCTGTATCTATATATTTAGCACACACAGTCTCTTCATACCTGGAGAAATGACAGATGCCCTTCAAAATCACTCTAGTCCAACACTCCTATTTGGAAGATATGAAAACAGAGTCTGTAGAAGTCAAGTCATTCTTGGAAGTGACTTCCCCAAGATGGTACAACATATTAATGGCAAAGCCAGGGTTAGAACTCTGGATTCCTTTTTTTTTTTTTTTGCTATATTTTTATCAAAATTTTATTTGGTATGAGAGAAAATCAATATACCTCATTCAAAAATAAGATTTAAGAATAGCCTAAATATACTCTTTAGGACTCCCGCAAATTTCTCTCATTTGTCAGACATAATATCTTCAGAATTTTTTGTTGAACTAATTTACAGATCTATATTCCATGACCCCAATGACACTAAAGCAACCCCTTGATCAGGAAACGTTCTTTATCTGAATATAGCAGGGTCTACCATTAAAGCAGTCCTACTGGCAGATCCTGATTGCTCCTCCAGAAATGTTGTCATAGAAGAAAGCCCATTATCGGTCATCCAAACTAGAACACTGTATTCTTTATTGCCCACTCACGTTCTCTGTCCATTATGTCACAGAGGTTCTTTCATCTAATACCCTGGGCAGGCAACACAACCAATGAGCAAGGTACAGAAACCTTTGTGATCGAAACATCTTTTGGTTGGCTGCCTGGTTCCCAGTGTTCTTTATCAGTTGGAACTTAAAACCTTCCCATAAATATGCCTGATTTGTACATACTTTATGTAGGACTCTAAGAACAGAACCCCAAATGGAATTGTACAGCCACAGGAAAGAGCCGATTTATTCTCTCCTATGAAGGTCAAGTTTTACAGAGGCCAAGCCACAGATGACAGCTGAATTTCCATGGTTCAGCTACTGTTAAATCAAATATGCTGCTAAAGAGAACTCTAATTTGTATGGTTTTTAAATTTTTATTTCAAGGTTTCTTTAAAGCAAATATTCAAGAAATAGAGCTTCTCCTGAGCACATGAAAAAAGTACATGTGAATTTTGGAGAATGATGAAGTGATCTAAAATTGGACTGCAGTGATGGTTGCCCAGCTCCATAATTTTTTTTTAATCTTTAAGTCATACACTTAAATATTATAAAATATATTTCAATAAAGCTGTTAAAAAATAAGTGTGAAAATGAGTCAGATAAAGTGCTTCTTTTTGTAAACGTGTGGTACGAAGACTGTAAGTACACTTTTAAGCCCAGGTTCTACCTACTTCAGTCATGGCTTACCTCAAGGTCAAAAGTTTTTCCTATAATTTTGGTAAAAATAATTTAGTAGACTAGTACAATATCTTCACTGATATAGCACCAAGAGATACTGACTCATTTGATTATCGGCATGAGTGATCTACAGATATATTTGTTTAATTAAGCATATGGTGTTCTAGTCCAAAAGCTGCCATTAACTAGCCATGAGGCTTTGAGCAAGTTATACATCTTCAGGCCTCAGTTTTCCCACCTATATTATGTGTCCCCATGGACACATTAGAGTCAAGTAACACACAATATATTAAAAAGAATAGCAACTGCTATCATCTAATGAATGGCCAATAATACACCAGACTTCAGGTAAATTATCAACCTATGAGGAAGGTAGCAGGATTCCAATCCAGAACTGTCCAGCTCCAAAACCCATACTCATTCTCAATTCCTCATTAGACTTTGGGTTTTGATTCTGTCAGATGTGGGCATGAATCCTGACCTTGCCTTTACTATGTTAAGTTAGTCACCTTCTCTGAGTCCAGCTTCTCCATCTGCAAAATGAGATTACTAATACTTAACTCTTGGGGTTATTGTGAAGATTAAATGAGAGAATGCTTGAAAAACCATTCAATGAAAAACCATGCAGTAACAGTCTTTCTCATGCCTCTCCCACAAAAGTTCCTTCTTGTGCTACAAAAAAAAAAAAAAAAAAACTCTTAAATTTTTATTCTTTCTCATGCCTCTCCCACAAAAGTTCCTTCTTGTGAAAAAAAAAAAAAAAAAAAAAAAGCTTTCAATTCTATGTTTTCGTATAGCCTACCTGGATAAACCTCACTGGGACTGAATTCTATCAAAAGTGAACATGAACAACACAGCATTAGTCCTTTGCTATCAGTCCTTGGCTCTGTGACGGAGACTGTCAACAAGAGTGTCAACTTCAAGGGGTGGGCATCTGTCCACAGGAACTAAGCTGAGGTCACAGACTTGTCTCACTCTGCCCTATGAACAGATGTCTGGGTAACAACTCTTAGTCACTGTAAATGAAGGTAAAAGCCAAGCCAGGTGGGAAGTACTATATCTACTTTCTAATCCTCTTGTTCAGCCCATTCATTCCCTACAACAATACCTCACTGACCATAATTCAAAATAGCTGGTTTTCCCCGGGATACTATTTTCAACATAATGCCTTTATTTTGATGCTGTCTAATTATTCCACAAGCAGAAGAGAGTGTTTCTGTAACGGTGATTTGTCAGCAAGAAACCTGTTTAATTCTGTGTGTTGGAATATGCACCTTCAAAAGTTTACCTCTCAAGTAACCTGGTGAAAACTGGTGTAATGTGGAGCTCTAGTGGTGGCAAGAAAGTAAAGCAGCCATTAGGGAGAGCCAACAAAAACGCCAAGGAAATCACCATTTATTATTTATTTATTTGTTATGGTGAAATCACCATTTATTGTTAATGTTAAGAAGAAAAATGGTTCAAAATGATCTTCCAAGATAATATAAGGTGAACTCTAAATGGAATGACTTTCTTCCAGATTACAAATTAGACCTCAACAACCAGCTTACATCAAACAACATGAAGCAGTTAAAATATCCCAAAAAAAACCTCAGTGCTGTGGTTGTCACTTTTCTACTTTTTACCAAGTTCACTAAGAATCCAATTAATTAAATACTAGCTATTTTTCACACAGCTAGCAAGAGTACTGTATACAGAAAACACTGGATTCTGAGTGGTATGATCAGTGAAGTCCTGTACCAACTGTCTTGGGAATTTAAATAATCCCTACAGGCCGGTGAGGATGTTATGAGTTAATTCCTGCACTAGAAAAGTGCCTTCTTTGAATTTCTGACTTCTGAGGTCTTTCCCAACTTAAAACAACTAAGAATGAAACCTACAATGTAAAACATTAACTCTTTGTTTTCCTGTTACCGAATGTATATGTCTTCTCAATTGAAAGGGCTTCAGTTTAAAAAAATACAGCTCTATTATGGTCAACAATACAGCAGAACATAAATAGTAAAAATTTTATGATGTTCAATCAGGAGTTGACATTTGAAATTTCTAAACATTGTGCCTGGTTTAGCTGTGTCAAAACAAATTAGCATGAGGCAAAAAAAACCTCAGAATGTGAAAAAAATTCAGGAACTATCCTTTCCATACAGTGTAAGTATCTAAGTATCATGTTCCTAAACATGAAAAACAATGTAAGAGACTCACTTTTCTATACATGATGATAAAAGAAACTAAAATGTTCATAAATACATTAACACCATTTATCTGAAACAAAAATCTCAAGACTCATGGAAGTTTTTCATGACTTCTATCAGTTCAATCCACTAGATATTTTCCAGTGGATATATTCCAAGGGAATCTAAATTTTAGGTCTACAGATGACTGACTACCAAGCCTCAGAGGTCTGTGAAGGAAGATTTAATGATTACCCAGGGGGTTTTATTCATCAGTGTGTCTCTTCTTCATCCTTCTACTAATATGCTGTCATTAAATTAATATAGTTCCCTAAAGCCACACAGAAAAATGGTAAAAATATAAGATCCTTTTCTGAGAAGTCATTGAGAATGCAATAGTTTGTAATGAACAGCTCAAGATAAAGAACTAATTTCCTTTCAGTCCTCATTCCTATAGGATAGGCGAGAGAACCTTTCTGATAGAAAATAAAAGCAGGCAAGGTCTACTAACATAATCGTTTGTCAAACAGAAACCTGTACTAATGCAACATTAGCCACTAAGGAATTCAAATCTAACGTGTTCTGCAGTCCTTTTCACCATAGATATCAAAATTGAATAAAACTGAAGAATAATTTTCCATCTTTGAATCTAAGAACTTTGTCTTTGGACATCATCTTGCCTGTATTTTCTTTGGTGATTATCTCTATCTTCTTTGCTTTCCCTTAACAGACCTTGGTATGCTGCTTAAAATAATATTTGGGGCTTTATTTGCCATCCTTTTACCCAGACATGTTGATTTTATTAAAGTAAGTTGGGTCTGCATTCTTTCTTTACTATTATTCCAGGTAGACTTGACAGACACAGGATCTTTGTTTTAACATGCTCTGCTATGGAGGAAACCTTGTGAAATAAGTTCCATTTTACCTGCTGGGCAGTTGCACTCTGAAGGTGCTTCTCTTGCGATTCTTATTTTAGCCATATGTTCATAGGATTTCTGTAGGAAAAGAAGAGGTATTAACAATCATCAGTAGTATTGTAGAAAAATGGATTCTTTAGGAACTCTGGCCATATGCCTGATTTACTAGCCTGCATAACTAACGTTTACATATGTACTTGGACTTTAGTCAAAAGGTAACAGTACCCAAGTCCTAAAAAAAGAAAATGACCATTCACATGGTATCAAGACTTTGGACTTGTGTAACATCTTTCTCCATTCTTCAATTACCATCACCCTCTCTCTCAGCTCAGGCATATTCAGTCAATGCAAAAAACCAGCATTAACATGTTGCAGTTCTAGGTAAGCTAGGGGTTTTAAAACAACCAGTATTTTACACATAAAGGTCAACTGCTTATCATGTTGTCCTGCCACTACTGCCAAACAGCCTCTCCGTTGGAAGAGCAAGTTCCAGAAAACCCCCTAACTGTAGTTAAAACACCCCTGGTTTTGATAAACATAACACAGATTCCTTTCAACTCTCAACTCCAATGGCTCTGCATTCACAAACACCCATGGCACTGCATCCTTTACAAAATAATCAAGCTACTATTTTTTTTTCTTTTTAAACATTTAATATGAAAACATTCAATGTGTGAAATAATTGATCTAAAATCATATGCAGAATTATTTCACTTTTAAGAGCGATTTCCTTTTGCATATTAATAACACCTATGGCCCTAACCTTCTTATACCATAAAAAGGATATAACAGATGTTATCTCTGCAAGGAATATTCTCCACAACATTGGAAAAGATCCACATGCAACTCCAGAAACTAAAAAGAGCTGAAATGCCACCCTGCCCTTCTGGCCACCCTTCCCCCCATTTAGACCTCCATATATGTTTAGCATGCAAACATTAAGACGAGTAAGGGAAGATGATAGAGACAGAGAGGGAGATATCAAAGCGTGTGCATATACAAATATATGCTACAGTGAGCAGAGATGGTGGCCTAGCAATATATGTGTACACACAGCCATATCACGTCTGCATACAGTAAGGCAGAGGCTGGTCATGTACACAGAATCACGCCTGTGCAAGATGTTATCCACGTGCAAAACACCCCAGCCTTTCACACCTGAGCCAGAAGTCGCTCCACTTTCTCTTGCACCACTGCTTTGAGCTGATCCAGACAATCAGGCAGCAGACGGATGGAAGGGTCTCCTTTGGCGGATTCGAGGGCGGCGATCCTCGCCTGGAGGTCGTTGGTTTTCACCCCCAGGTACAGACAAGATATCACGGCCACTACTGACAGGAGGGCGGCCAGGGCGGCGCACGGCGACACGGTCCGGGCACAACGCTGCCCGCCTGGGCTCCGGTCCTCGGAGCCCGGCTCCCGCCCCCCTCCTTTCCCTGCTTGCTTCTTCACCAGCATCGTGGCGGGGTCGGCTGTCTCGGCTTCGCCTCCCAGCCTCTACCACCTCCAATAATCGTAAAAGAAAGAAAAAGGACGTTTCCTCCAAAGTTCAGTCCCGATGGCTGCACAACTAGTTGGCGGAGTCGGTGCCGGGGCGCGGCGATGGATCAGCGCCGAGACCCGCAGACGTGGACCATCCTCCGCTTTCTTCTCCCCTCCCAGCTGCGAGTGAAAAGCACCCTCAGTCCGGGGACTGGTGGCAATAAGCTAAAATCAGGAATGAAACCCACCCGGGTGTCCCTCCTGGCCCCTCAAAGGACGGGGACCTCCTCTGAGGAGAGCGGCCGCGCGGGGTCCAAGAGACAGCGGCCAAGGCGCTGCGAGGGGCCGCCGCTCGCCCTCGCCGCAGAGCACCGGACCTGTTGCGCCTCTGTTAGTTTGCCCTATTTCTACCTATTCGGTGTCTTTCCTCACGCCGACCTGTTTCCCACCTGGATTCAGTTCCAGGTGAAAGGGCTGAGAGGGACCACAAGAGTGCAGTGCAAAAGGGGTGGCCAAGGGGGAGAGGAGAGAGGAAAACGAAATCCCCAAGGAGAAAATGCGAGTCGCGAGGCCGAAGTCGCGGCTGCCCGAAGTATCTCCGCAGCCTCGCGTTTGCGAGCCTTAAATACCCTTCGGGATGCTCGTGTGTGAGTGTGTGTGTGAGCGTGTAAGTGCGCGCGCGCTCCGACAGCGGCGTCCCTCCCCCGACCCCCTCCCGGCGCGGGGCCTCCAGCCCGCGGCTCCTACTGCAGTGCGCCCCCCTTCCCAAGCCCGGGCAGAAGCCCGCCTCATTAGCATAATGTATTCACCTTCGCCCAGCCCGCGGGCGGGGCCGGGGAGAACCCCCGAGGGGCGGGCGTGGAGCTCGGTTGGGAGCTGAGCCCCCATAATATATGCAAATAGCTGGAGCGGCCACGGCGATTGGAGAGGAGCTTGGCGACCCCTCCCCCCTCTACGGAGTTACTTCAGCTTCCACTAAGGCCACTTCTCCCGCCTGGGCCGGGGGCCGAAGAGAGGTCCGCTGCGGGGGGAGGCGGCAGCTCTGGCTTTTTTTGACTCGGCTCCGCGCCCCTTCTTTATCCCGGTTAAATATGGAGAAATGGCCTCCAGGAGGGAAGAGGGGAAGCAGAAAGCTCTAGCGCTCTAGGTCTTCCCTCTAAATCAACGGCGGGAGCTCTAGCGCTCCCGTTCTGGTGCAGCCTTCTTCCCTCCTCCCTCACCTTCCCACATGCCCAGAGGCCAAGTGTCTGGCTGACGCCTGAAGTATTAATACATTTCCCCACTTCACTTCTCTTCCCACGGCCGCGCTGCAGTCTCCGACTAGGGGAAGTTTTCTCTCCCCTCCCCCAGTATCCTTCTGTCTTGACGGGGCTGAGACTCCTTCCCGCCCTGCGTTCCTAGTCCGTACGCGGGTGCTAATGCATTTTCCTGATTCCCTGTTTTGTGGGATTGAAGAAGGGAGTGTTAAGGTACAAACGTTTCTCAGGATTTCGGAAAGGACTGAAGAATGATGTCAGTTTTTCCTCTTACCTGACTCTCTTCATGCTGCTCCCTCTGGATCAAATTACAAGTTCTCTAAGGGGATTTTTGAAAGTAGGTAACAAGTAGCATTCTACATCTAATTGACTTCGAAGAAAAAAAAAAAACTCCCGCTTCTTACTCCAAAAAGTTCCTCCTTATCTCCTTCTCCTCATGAGAAATATCGTATATTTTTCATATCCTTCTTAAGTTAACCTCAGGTTGCTGCTTATTAATGTAAACCAACAAAATACTACACTAAACTGACCTTTCATAAATGCAAACGGGTATTGCTAGGTACGAAGCAGGGTAAAGATGTTTGAACAACGTCGTTGATGGAGGATACAAGCTTGAAAAAAATAGGGATGAAACAGACACAAATCAGAGAAAAACAGTGAATTTTGCTATAAAATCAGAAGCCTAATTCCTTACACTTGTATTACACAGTAGTTCTCAAAGAGGGACCCCAGACTGGCAAGATCCCTATCTTCTGAGAATTTATGCAAAATTCAGATTCTAGGACCCCACCCAACATCTACTGACTCAGAAACTACTACTATTACTAATGAATCAGAAACACAGCAATCTGTATTTTAACACATCCGCCTAATGATTTTGAGGCACACTAAAGTTTGAGACCACTGGAGTTACACTTTACAAAATATTTTCAAATACACTTTTTCATTTGAACCTCATAATCCTGTGATGTAAGTAAGGAATTACTGGCCCCATCTTATACGTAAAGAAACAATTTTCAAGTCACATTTAATTGTGATTAAATGTGTTTCCAATAATAGCACCCAAGGTGTGGGTACAAATTTTTTAACATGTCAACTCTTTCAGATTTTTCAATTACCTCTCTAACCATTTCTTAGTCTTCTTTGCAGGCTTTTCCTCAGCCTATCCTCTAGATGTTGGTGTTCCTCGGGACTCTATCTTAATGCCATTTTCTCTTCCGGGGCCCCCAACCCCCCCCCCCCCGGGATCTAACGCCTGACGATCTGAGGTGGAGCTGATGTAATAATAATAGTGCACAATAAATGTAATGAGCTTGAATCATCCCGAAACCATCCCTCCCCCCGCTCACCCGCCCCCCACCCCCCCCACACCCCCACACACACCCAGTCTGTGGAAAAATTGTCTTCCAGGAAACCAGTCCCTGGTGCCAAAAAGGTTGGGGACCACTGCTGTACACTATCTCCAGTAGTGCTGTCAGTTACTGTCCTTATACTAGTGAGTCATAAACCCATATTACAAGCCCTAACGTCTCTCCTGAGCCATATAACCATTTCCACTTGGATGTCCTGTAAGCAATTCCAACTTGACCGTCATCTTACCTCCAAATTCTATTCTTCCTCGTTTATTTTCCATTTCAGTAAATGGAGCCACTGTTAATCCAGCATCCCCAAGCCAAAATACTGAGTAAACAACCTTTGACTTCTCCTGTATCCTCCTCTCCCCATCTACCCAAATTCCTTCAGTACTTTATATTGTCCTGAGGGTGGAAATGATGTCTTACAAGTCACCACCTGGTGTCTGTCATCTCACCTTCCTCTTCGCTCATCTTTCCCCTTACACTCTCTACGCCAGTTTCTCTAATGAAAGTACAGAGACAAAGAGTATGAAGAACTTTTCTTTGGGGCAAGGCATCATTCTCTTAAAATTTCAATAGAAAGTCCACTTCCTGTGCTGATTGATGCTGACAGTAGGTCACACGTTTAATTTGGATGATGTAATGTTCTTATATCATACTTTGTGGAAATTGGTCATGAGAAGGTACATTAACAACTCTTGCAGGCTCTCAGAACTGCCAGATCTTAGTGGAAAGATAGAGTTCGAATTTTATGGATTTGGGATCTTTATCCAGAGGATAAGTTTTACTTTCTTAGGTGGGCACAATACCCCAGAAATGTACCAGTCATTAGCGCTAGGATTTCAAACCTGGTAGATTCTCTGCATCAAGCACAGAGAATGTGTGGATCAAGAAAGCTCTGGGCATTTGAACCCATGTTGTTCTGTAGATTCATCAGAGCACAGTTGTTTTGGTTCCCATGTGGAAAAGGATTCAAAAAAGTAAAAATAGCACTAAAAATGGTAGTCTAGCTGACTCCAGTTTATCAACTGGATGATATCAATAGGAGTAAAAGGCAGGCACCTGGTTGTAGAACAGGTATGTGACTGGAAGAATAATAGACTCCCAAAGATGTCCCTATCCTAATCCCCAAAACCTGTAGTGGAGAATGTTACCTTACTTGACAAAATGGATTTGCAGATGTCATTAAGTTACGTATCTTGAGATGGGGAGATTTTCTTTGATTGTAGGTGGGCCCAATGTAACGGGAAGCAGGATTTCAGAGCAGGACCCTATGATCCTTGCCCCCCCTCCACCATGTCCTCTGCCTGCCTTTTGTCTGTGGAGAAACTTTAGCCAAAGAATAATTTTAACCAGAGAAGTGAGAAAATGCGGAAACAGAGGAAAACCGTCAAAGGAGATCAAAAAATAATAGTTTAGTCATTAAGCATAGTCAAGGACCTTTAGTTCCGTCTCAAGGGCTGTAGATAATATTCTGAGCCATATCCTGGGAGCTGTCTTGTAGATACTGAAATCCCCACCAGGTGGAAGAAGGTAACTACCTGATGACCAGCCTGTAGCCATGACTTAAGCTGCCACGATTCCAAGAATTGGCCTCAAAGAAACAGAAACCAACCCTGGAACTGAAGATCAACTGTACCTACCACAATCAAGATGACGCTCGTCAGACCACTGATGACCAAATTCAAGATGACTGTCAGAGCTGACTGTACTGTTTCTGCATGTCGCCGCCTCCCTCTGCCTATAAAAGCTCTTGCCCACTGGTTGTAGGAGGGGGAGAGTCGGCATTTGGACAGGTGTCTGCCCTCCCCGCCCTCTGGATGCTGGCACCCAAAATAAAGCAAACTTTCCTTCCCACCAACCTGGCCTCTTTATTGGCTGTTGAGCGGCGAGCAGCCGGACCCCACTTTCGGTGACACTTGTAAGAGGAAGGCAGGGTTTCAGAGTAGGCGGAGGTATGACACCAGAAGCAGAGGTCAGAGTGATGTGAATACTAGCTTTGAACTTGGAAGCCAAAGACTGTGGGCAGTTTCTAGAAGCTGGAGAAGTCAAGGAACAAATTCTCCCCTAGAGCATCCCGAAGGAATGCAGCTTTGCCAGTTCTTTTATTTGAGGGCTTTTTATCATCAGAACTACAATTAATAAGTTTGTGTTGTTTAATTCACTCACTTTGTGGTAATCTGTTAACAACAACAGTAGAAAACTAACAGAATCAGTCACAAGAAGTCAGTCTTCATCTGCTACAGCATCATAAGTGGTCTTGAAAAACACCATAATGCCAGGCAGGCCCCGCAATAACAATCTCTGTCTCTCCAATGTTTACGCATTCCTATTTTACTGACATGCCCACTGGGAAAGAATTGGA